ATACTCCATGGTCAGAATAAAGTACGGGCCAAACCCGCAGAATATTCAAGTGGTCGAAGTGGAGCCACCCAAGACGGATAGCCTGGTAAAATTCATGCAAAATTTTTTGGACAAGGAAACAACGATGCCCAGGAACCGCTATTGGAAGACGCCGGTAAAATCAAGTACACCGGCCAAAAAGCTAGAGCAACCGGCTCAGAGGAAGCCATCTTCCGCACCGAAACCAAAGAAGGTGTGTAAGGAAAAGCCAAAGATGCGCGCTCCATCACCTTTGGAGATGAGTGGGAAATCCGCGCACTAAACTGAAAGAAGGTATGGTCTTGCACGTCGGACCTAAAATGACGCGACCTTCGCCAACAGGTAAATTGGTATTTATCTGCATATTAGTTTTCAACAATTTAATTTTTGCATCAACACATGTTTGAATTTCAAAATTGCATTTAGGATTTTTGAATTTTGAGGAAATTCTTCAAATGAATTTTTTAGAGCAAACCAAAATAAAATTTTCAACGAAAATTCACTGTGCCACGACCACACTAACCGTTGGAACCCAACGGCTGAAAGTGGGGCCGGTTGGGCCTACCAGGGGTTCGACCGAACCCACTGGTTTGGCCGAACCGGCCATACAACGGTCGGCTGTCTCCTTTTTTCGAGACAACGGCTAGTGGGCCCCACAAGTTAGTTTTGGCAGCTGTCGGTGCACTACTTAAGCCAATCGGCCGGGAGAGGGAACTCCACCCCATTTCAACACATTTTCATTCCCTCTCTAAAGTTTGCTCTCAAGTTCATCCAAGCTTTGATAGTTTCCCTCAAATTCAAACACTTAGTTGCATCCATACAAGTTGCTTTGGTGAAACTAACCGGTGGATGAAACTCTTGCTATTCTAACCCCCTCCGAGTTAGTCCGTTCTTGCTCCATTGTGCAGAATGAGGAGGCGATTGTCTCGTCTGTTCAAGGGATCCGGCTCTTCATCAAGCCATCATGACGAGTCTAGCGCTCGTTCATCAGTTGATATCTCAATGGAGGACACTGAAGCTCCGCGACATCTCCTGAACGACACTGACCTTGACCTTGTAGATGATCGAGAAAGACAAGCCAACTACATGCTGAGTGACCAGGAGTATGCTCACACGCGAGAATACTCTCTGGAGCTGCTGAAAAAGATAGGTATGGATGTTGATATTCGTGCTATTTGGAAAACTGTTGGTTGGTAGAGATTTGCGGTGGTGGTAGATGAGCCTGGTTCTCATTTGCTTACTTTGCAATTTCTGTTCACTTTCTCATTTCCTTACTTTGCAATTTAGCCCTGGTTGTATGGTCATGACGGGCTGTCGTAAGGAACTCGGTAGTCAGGGGTGGCTTCTCGAAGTACCAGGAGAGCATCGGATAGAGGGTATTAGCTAGTATATCATATGACTAGAATGTATGTATACTATGTATACTAGAAGTATAGGAATAGATTATCTTTCTCTTTTCTTTCCACTTAGTTTAGATACTTTGCTGTGAGAATGAATAACTTACTGCTTGTGTGTCACTCTACCCTTGAATTATCTTAACCCCTGCTTAGACTATGATTATTACAAGTAACATATAAATTATTAGTCAAGTTCTCTCTACCATGATCTTCCCACGGGATTAAATAAATACGATACTCTTGGAATACTCTCGGGTAAAATGCTACAATGGTATATCCATACGCTTGCGGATGAACTCTGTAACCATAATATACCAAGAGTATTTCTACGCCATTGCTGGGAAGTATATTTCTAGTAATGTCATTAAGAAATACCAACAGTATACCTCCTATCCTACGACTTATGGAATATACCGATAAGGTATACCTTCACGTACACGGATCGTTCCCGTGAATATCGTTTGGAATCCATCGCAAATTATGAAAAATATCTCTACAAGTCAAGCGATTTCCAAAGTCCTACTCGGAAGGGATAGAGTTTCTATTATGCCATACCAGATCAAATACCCTTAGATCTTTCTTGGGGGTCAAGATGATCCACGCTATAAAAGGGACCCCTGGGAGGGGTGAAAAGCATCCAATTATATCGCCAACACACCCACCATAGTTTACGAAGCCGGAGTACACGGAGTCAACTCGCTAGGAGATCTCGTCGAATCCATCGACTACGATCTTGTCGGTACCATCTATTTCGACTACTCTCTTTGTAAGATGTTCTCATCATCATCAATCCCATACAAACTGGATTAGGGTTATTACCTGACAAGGGGCTTGAACCAGTATAATCCTTGTCTTTTGTCTGCTTGATGTCGTACTACGTATACCCTCGTTGCAACATACCCCAATACTCTATTCATCCGGTCCGCGAGTATCACTCGTCGATAGTGGTGCGCCAGGCAGGGGGACTTGGTGCTCAAGGATCTACCGGTATGACTTCAAGAGTTCCTGACAGCAGTACCAACACCGGCGTCGATCAAGGAGCCTCTGCTCGACATTGCTGATGTGGACTCAAGTCGGATCCATTGTCTTTCCGGTCTACACCGTTACGCTGATCTCGATTGGCCCAATCATTATCGGGAACGAGAAAGGCATGGTTATGACTCCGAGAAACGACACCCCGCTGACAATTCCTCCCACTCAAGTGGAGAACGGAACATCGACGGCCCCAACACTTGGAAGGAATCCTCAAGCGGCCGAATTTTGTCCTCTATACAAAAGATCAGAGCCGATAAGGACGACCACCCTAAAGCAGAGATCTTGGTGTCCTATTCATAGGACATCCAAGCACACTCTCGAGGACTGCCCGGTGATACTCCATGTGAAAGCTGAACTCTACGCCTGTTGGGAACGTGGGATTCAGCGCACTTCACCGATGGGAACACCTACTACCCAATTCATAAATCTACATCTCACGATCTGACAAGCTGTAGGATATTTCTCAGACCCTCAAAATGCGGCATCATCGCGTCCAACAACCGCGGGTTCAAACTCTGTGTGTTGCCAAGGAACAGGATGCAGCGACAACATCAGATCGGTTCGTAGGATATGTTGGAACTAATCCAAACGAGTCGTCCGTGCTACACCTCTTGGAAGACTACGAATCCTCTTCGGAGTCACCACGAGATGTAAACATGGTCGGCAACACTGAGACGAGTACGTCCGCAGCAGCGAGAACGCCCGCTCAGCAGTTACGAACCCTGCATGCGATATTGAGTGAAAGTCCTTTTGATCCGGTGATAAACCCAGACGTCGACCAATGGGCGGCGCGACTGCGGGAGACCGTGACCAACCTCAATGCCTGTGGGATACACGGTACCCAGGTACCCAACAACAAGCCTTGGGCCGCACCGCATGGGGTGGGCCCAGTGCCCTAGGCCCATGCGGCATATCTGTATACATAGAAGGAGATAAAGGATAAGGAAGTCTATCCTATCTCTTGTAAATAGATGGTAGGTACCCAGATTATAATGGATACCGTGCCATGTATGGCGCTGGCGGCTCTAGCTCTATATAAAGGGCGTCGGCGACATACATAGGGGGGATCATCTCCACAACCTGACTCTCTTCTTCTTCTCCTCGGATCATTTTTCACTCAGATACAGAGAAAGACATACACTGAACATAGGGTATTACCTCATCTTGAGGGCCTGAACCAGGATAAACACCTGCGTCACCATCTCTCCTTGATCTTGCACACCCCGTAAAATATATTGCCGATCACAGAAATCGGGAGACCGTGACCAACCTCAATGCCGTATTTGTAGACGCAGCAGTTGAGCCATCGCCAGGTGATCCGCCCGAGGAGACGGTGAACCATCCGTCGACAACGCGGAGGGAGAAAACCCCACCGGAGGACGACCTTCCGGAAACCGATCACCTCGGCCGAGGCGAGATCCTACTCCACCACGTCACGAGAAATGCGATCTTCGCGAACACTTGGACAACCGCTGGAGAGACAGAAGAGATCGCGACAATAACGATCGTCATCGACATCGTTCTCCTTCTCTCAGCAGGGATAACACTACTCACTGACGACACCGTCACCGCTCTCCTTCGCGACGAGGAAGGAACGATGGTCGAGGAGGCGCCCCTAACGAAGATCGAGACCGGTGGGCCCCTAGTGACCGCCGCAACGACATCAATAACGACAACCAACGAGATCAGGGGGCTAATCGCCGAGATCGAAATTCCCAATCTCCCGACCCCGGTCGAGATCGAGGACACAATCGTCGTTCGAGAAGCCGGGCCCCTGAGCCAAGCGACTCCTCATCCTCATCTTCGTCATCTTCTTCGTCGGATCGGCCTCCCCGACGACGTCATGACCGCGGGCTGCCTTCCATCCCAGGGAGTCAGTGCAGAGCATTCACACCCGCACTCCGGGATGTGCGATGGCCCGAGAAGTTCCAACCAGGCGCAATCGAGAAATACGATGGAAGCACAGACCCAGAAGAATTTCCGCAAGTCTACTCCACAATCCTCTATACTGCGGATGCAGACGATAACGCGCTGGCAAACTATCTGCCGGCTGCGTTAAAAGGACCTGCTCGCTCATGGCTAGTCCACCTCCCGTCCCACTCAATCTCCTCATGGGAAGACTTGTGGCAGCAATTCGTCGCTAACTTCCAGAAAAAAATAGTACATTGTTCGAGAAACTATTGATTTTCTAGCCGTCAGATGCGCTTCAAGGTTCGTGCTGCTCGTGGGAAATAAAAACCAAATACTTCACGCCAGAAATAAAAACCAATGCAGGCAAGCAGCAAGAGGCGACATGTAATTCAATGAGATAGCCAGGAAAAAAATTAAAAAACTAAGAAAATCGATGAGAGTGCACTGGTTGAGTTTGATTATTAGTGTGTACTGCAGATTACTCAGTAGTCAGTACTATCACTTTTCAATGAACAAGAAACGTTGAAATATGAACCGTGCCTTCCTGGATGAAATTTATTTGAAGAGAAACCTGCAGGCCGGATCGAGTTGCACCACGCATGCCTCCAAAGTTCCAAATAACATAAACGAACTCTCATCCATGCATAAAACTAATGACGATATTTTTTTTTTGATAGGGAACTAATGACAATATAGTAATGCCACATATAAGTCTTACACGAGTTAAGCAAACATACTGCACGTGCGCTCATCTTAGAGTGGTTTAGTCTGACCAAGTCTACTTAATAGTAGAATAGTTCTTAGCTAGAGAAACAGCTAGAGTTGCTGGATAACATAATTATTTTTAGGAGATATGAAAGCCTCAGCTAGGTAGCAGTAGCAGTAGCAGTAGCAGCAGATTAAAACCACCTAATGTTCCAACAGAATCGGCAGTACTTCATCGACTGTCTACTTTTCACACAGGAAGCAGCCAGCACAGCCCCAATGCTGCAGCTCATCCGAATTCACATGGAGAGTTCCACTAAGCGAGCTTTACCCTCAGCTTCAGCAACACCAATCAATGACTGCACTCCAACAAGTATTCCACACCTCAATTAGTCACATAATACAGGATAAAAAATAGCCCATGTTAATTCTCTCCTGTACACTCCTCACGTTTTGTAAAATGCATATTAATTTAGCCAACAGAAATCATGTTCTTTAAACTCCATTTGATAATTGAAACTAGTCGACAGAGTAGGTTGTGCTACTCTACAACATAATAACAGATCAAGAACACCAGTATGATGGTCAGCAAAATAAATGGTGATAATGTAACTTAATTACTCTGGTATTCATGGCATAAGAACAGTCCTGTCACAAATCAAGGACACCGGTATGACCGCATGCCATAGCATAGTCCAAAGTGACCATTTCTAACATGCATTAATACAAAATTATTATATTGAAATTGATACAATTTCAAGTACTATCTTATAAACTTATGAGGCCACAGTTGTGCGGTTGTTGGATGTTGACTTGCCTTAGAACAACCATGCTTCATCTAAAGATCTATAGAGAGTCAATTATGCATTTGATACTAAATTTATTCTAGCACCTTAATAAATTTGTGTCTTTTACTGTTAACATCCTAAATTAATTCGTTTATCCCACCATAGTAAAGAAAAGAAATAAAAATCTAGTATCTTACCACACTTGCTTCACCAAACTTCACAGTTGTTTGTTGCCTTTTAGGGCTAATATCTTCCTCAGGTTCCACTTCTTCCCTTGGATGTTTTCTTGGAGTGAAACCCTGGCAATAATTCTCAGTATGGCAATCTTCTTGACTTGAATGCATATCAGTGCCTGCCCAAGAATTAACACTCACAAGGATCACTGGATTAAGTAATAGCATTACCTAGTCTGAAATTTTACGCATAACGTTCTCAGTTCTCTTAAACAGGAAATGCATCCAAATAGGTGAATAAGCTTTTCATTACTTTTTCATGATATCCAATAGTTTTTAGCAGGACACAGTTAAAATATGAGCAGATGACCAAGAAAGTGCATCACTTAGTTGTAGCACACAATCTTAGAAAATCTCATATGCAATGTAATGCTAAAACTACCGTGTACATAAAAGAAACAAAACAAATTTCAGAAGGACCTATAGAGAAAAAAATGAGCAAGTGCAGGTGACCATGAATATGCAATGGTGTGCAAACATAATCCGAAACTACCATGCCAAGACACTTAGTAATTTTCAGGAAGAAAGCATACAAATACAGAATTTTGCAACAACCGCTTGAGACATCAAAAGCATTGATTGGCATGAAATGCCATCATGGATCAGATATATCATCATCGCTGATGCATATTCTTTAGATAATATGCATCACTGATGCATATAGGCCCATATTAATAAAATTTTGTGTCATTTAACAACATTTTCTAGGGATTTATTGTGAACATAGAGGATTGCCCTTGTTTGAAAACAAATAAGTATGTTCAACTAGTTTACCTGCATTTGTCACTGATGAGATCCCAGATTTTTTTCCAGGACTTATCATGGTGCCAATCAAAGTTTGCAAGACTGTACTGGCAGGAACACCTGCAGTGAGCTCAGAAGTTAGAATTGGCATGCAGCAGGTGCAACAGTTCAAGGGAATAATTGTGCACATAGAGCTTTGTCACAATTGAAGTTGAAGGTTACCAGTTTTTGTCGCTGAAGCAATTCCAGAATTTTCAGTATCAGTTGTTATGGTGCTAAACATAGTCTGTGTGATTGCAGCAACGAGAGAACCTGCAAATGAGTTCAGAAATTATTACAGATGGCAGCGGGTAGCCATATGCTGATAAAATGCAAAGAAAACATCAATCCTGAAAATGCTGCTGGCTCCTGCACAGGAGTATAGTATGATATGAATACTTGAATAGTAGCATAGTAAACTTAATGAAAGGCTGTTTGTCCCATAGCATTTTAATCAAAACAGACAAAGGGTACAGAAGATGTAGCACGATCAACAAGGTATTATGGGAGCATAGCTCAGCGCAGGAGTAACCTAAGCATAAACTTAGCAAAGTATTAATTCATTCTAATTAATTCTGCAAAGAATTAACCAATCGGTTGCCATCTCCACAAATCCAATGTATAAATAGAGGATAAAAGTTGAAAATATAGAGCCCACGTGGATCAAGCAAGTATTAGATGTGACCAAAAGGACTCGATAAATCACACAGCCAGTAGATATATAGAGTAAGTGGAGAGAAAATGACGTGTTAGTATATTAGTGTCTAGGTAGACAAAGCGATTGTTAACTTGCCTTTCTTCTCACTTGATTGGAGTGGATACCCTTCATGGTGTTCTGAACGCTTGCAGCCAGCACGTAAGCTTAAATCTGATGATCACACAATTTGACAGTTGACATGAATATGAATACTGTATACATGTGGTTTCTCAAAGTCAAACACTGTAGTATGACCAGATCGTGTACATTCTAATTATGACAGTTCATAGAAATCAAATGGCATCATAACATAAAATGTGTGAATAGGTGATCAAACCCTATAAGGCCTTGTTCGGTTAAGCTCTTCCTAAGTGGATTGAAGGGGAATTGGAGTGGATCCAATCCCCTCTAACCCCTTCCTCATGAGGATTAACCGAATAAGGCCTAAAGTGGAAATTAACCAAAGAGATGGCATATATAGAGCGAACGCTATTTAATTTTACCAAGGATATCCGCCATCCAGCTCCTCGCCTTATTTGACAGTCCTTCTGTGTAGAAATATGTGTGGTTACCGGTTGTCACAGGTGCAGAATTAACAGTGAAACTAATAAAAGAGGTGCATTGTTTTACAATAACAGTTGGAAATTATACCCACCCAGACTTAACCCCTGAGGCTGGCCTGAAGAAGGCAGACTGCAAAAAGCAACATATGCAAGTGTTTGTGAATGTCACAAGAGGGTAAAGAAAAGCAAAGGCAGAACAATGGAGCATCACTAAGATTTGATTTTTTTTTCTTCAAAAGCAAGATTACTCTCAAGATAGTAGCATAATTGTACTGTACCATCTCTTCATCTCAAGATAGAGCTTGGCAATAGTTGATGCTTGGGGGTGGCTTTGCTGTCTCACGTGACGCTTGGATCGGAAACTAAAAAAGGAATTAAAATCAGTCAGAAGTGAATAATTAATTTTGGTGAGTGGAGTAATCAGTAGTACATACCCGAAGCCAATGGGAAGCACGTTATGCGGCTTCACCATGCCTCCCGGCAAGTCCACAAATCCGACGAGCTCTGGAGTACTATGAAGCAAGCTTCGGACGATCTGCGCTACTTGCTCTCTAACGCGCCCCCAGTCCAAGGACTCCCTGGACATATGCGGAACAAATTAATTACTCCCTCCGTTTCTAAATATTTGACGCCGTTGACTTTTTTAAAATATGTTTGACCGTTTGTCTTATTCAAAAAATTTAAGTAATTATTAATTATTTTCCTATCATTTGATTCATTGTTAAATATATTTATATGTATACATATAGTTTTACGTATCTCACAAAAGTTGTTCAATAAGACGAACGGTCAAACATGTGCTAAAAAGTTAACGATGTAAAATATTTAGAAACGGAGAGAGTAATTAAAGCTAATCACCGTCCAGTGTGTGTATGCTGATTGATGATCTCAAATGAGAAGAGGAGAGGAGACGTAGCTAGTACCTGGTACGGTCCGACAAGACGAAGGAGAGGATGGAGCGGCGGATTCTGGCGGCGTGGCTGTAGGGGGAGAGGCCGCTAGATTGGGCATAGAGGCGGCGGTGCTTGTCGGACCAGGCAGCGCCGGCCTTGTTGCCGGCGACGACGTCGGCGAAGGACTTGTGCATGTGGAGGAAGAGGAGGAGGGTCTGGGCCTCCTCGCTGAGATGCGACCCGCGGCGGCGGCGCTGGCCGGTGGAGCCGGAGGACGGCGGCAGGAAGCGGCAGATGTAGCCGATGGCGTCGTCCCACATGCTGCTGGTGATGAGGCGCTCCAGGCGCGGCAACGACACTAGCACCTTCGTCTCCTCCGCCATCCTGCAAATGCAGCCACGCCACGCCACGGTTCGTGAACAATCTATCGATCGGGAAAAAGAAGACGATGCCTCTATACGTACGCTTCGAAGGTGGATCGGAAGCCGTGGAGCCAGAGGAAGGTGAGGAGGCGGCGGTGGCGGAGGCGCGTGACGCAGCGGTACTCCGGCGGGGCGGCGGCGGCGGCGAGGTTACCGGAGCAGCCGTAGGCGGGGACGATGTTGGGCTCCATCGAGCGCGCTCGGTCTCCCAACTTTGATTTCGAGACCCCTCCTCTCTCCTCTTCTCTTCTGTACTGCACGGCGGAGTTGGGGAATTGCGGTGCGGGGAGTAATAACTCGCATCGCTTATGTATTCGGCAGCGGGACCCACGCGACGCCCTCCCCTCTCCCCGCCCTCCCCAGTCCTCTCCCCGCCCTCCTCTTTCCAGCTTTCCTTTTCTTTTTCTTATTTTTTTTCCTCACGAATAGCTTTCCTTTTCTTTTTCTTATTTATTTTCCCTCACGAATCGGTGTTACGTAGGTTGGGCCGTTTAAACGGCCCATTCTAGCCCTTTTTAGTAATGTAAAAAGGAATAAGTTCATGTGAGGTGTCTTAACTTATCAATGAATCCGATTTGGAATAAGTTCAGCGAATGTCCCTTAACTTAACAGCGTGATTTTTTAGGTCCCTCAACCACAAAACCAAAAATGTTCACCCTTAAACTTATTCAAACCATTCACCGGAGGTCCCTTAGCAGTATACATTGGTGGTTTCGCTGACGTGGAATCCTAGTCAGCAAATTTGTTTAAAAAAAGGTACATGGGGCCCATATGTAAGTGAGAGAAAACAATGTGGCCCCACATCCCTTCTTTCTTCCCCTTTATTCTCTTTTCTCCTTTATTTTCTTCTCTTCTCTCGTCTTCTTCGACGGGCCGAGACTGGCGGGGCAACGGCGGGCGAGAGCACCAGCGGCAGCGGGCGAGCATGGCGACGGCGGGCGAGAGCGACGTCGGCGGCGGGCGAAGCAGGCAGGAGCGGCAGGGGTAGGCGAGTGCGGGGGCGGCTGTGGCGCTCGCCCCTTGCTCTGCTTCTTTCATAGGTCATAGACTGCCCTCACAGACCAACACAAGTCTTTTTTGCACACTTTGTCCACACTTGTGCGCACCCGGGAAGAATTTCCCGATCGGACCAACACAAGTCTTTTCTGCACTCTTTGTCCTCACTCGTGCCGGGAAGAATTTCCCGATCGGTCACCCATCCCAAATTGCTCCAGGCCAAGCACGCTTAACCCTGGAGTTTTTGCAGATCGGCTTCCGGAAAAGAAGTTGCAACTTGTTGATATGAGTATTCTATCAGGTCGGGCCCGCTTATATTTGGCCGCTTTGAAAGGTCATAGACTACCCTCATAGACCAACACAAGTCTTTTCTGCACACTTTGTCCTCACTCGTGCGCACCCGGGAAGAATTTCCCATTGCTCCAGGCCAAGCACGCTTAACCCTGGAGTTCTTTGGAGATCGGCCTCCGGAAAAGAAGTTGCAACTTGTTGATATGAGTATTCTATTAATCCTATTAAGCCCTAGGCCGGGATATTACACATCCTCTTCCCCATCTAACACCGGCGTAGCTGGTCGCCTCTCCCCTCGTCGGCCGCTCCACGCGCCGCTGCGGCCTCGACCTCGCTAGCGGGGCGACGGCGGGCGAGCGCGACAGCGGGCGGCGGGAGACGTGGAGAGGAGGTGGTCGGTACGACGGCGAGCTCGACGAGGGGAGAGCGCGCGGCGTGGTGGCCTGTGAGAGGAGAGCAGTGGCGTGTGTGGCGCGGCGATGAGGGAGAGGAGCGGTGCGACACCCGTCTCCTCCCTCTCCGAGCGCTTGCCGGCATCCCAATCTCCTTCCTCTCCGCCAGTGCCGACTTCCTCGCAGCCACCGCCGGCCACCACGACAGCCGTGCGCGGGCAAGACAGAGGGGCGGCAGACCTCCACCAGCACACCAAGCTATGGCGGGGTGGGCTCGCGCACAGGCCGGGCGAGCTCGGATGGGCTCGCCGGCCGCCTCCCCCTCCCTCCCAAACCGCTTCACCCGGCACCCACCGACCGCTGCCGCTCTCGCATGCCGCCGCCGCTTTGCTCCTGCGCTCCCAGCGCCCATCGCCGCGCTCGACCGCCGCCGCTCCACTCCCACGCTCACCCACCGTCGCTCCACCCGCTGCCCACTGCTCCACTCCCGTGCTCTCGACACCCGTTGTCGCGCTCAACTGCCGCTGCTCCGCTCCTACGCTCAACCGCGTGCTTCCCGCGCGTCGCCGCGCCCGCTCCATCCCGACCATCACGCCCGCATCTGCCCGTCTACTCCGTGCCGCCCGCCTACCGTGCTCTTTTGTCGCTCGCCGCTGGCCTCCCCTCACCGAAGAAGAGAAGAGAGAAGAGAAGAGAATGAGAGGAAAAGAGGAGAGGGCGGCTGACATGTGGGCCCCACGTATTTTTTTTAATTTTTTTGCTGACTAGAATGCTACGTCAGCGAAACCACCAATGTATACTGCTAAGGGACCTCCGGTGAATGGTTTGAATGAGTTTAGGGGCGAAAATTTCTGGTTTTGTGGTTTAGGGACCTCAAAAAAATCTCGCTGTTAAGTTGAGGGACCTCCAGTGAACTTATTCCATCAGATTTTCATCTTTCAACCGGAAAACCAGATACAACGGGTCCCTTAACTGTCAAAACCAGTGCAGATGAGGTCCCTCGGATGTTTTGGCTGACGTCGCGCCTACGTGTCTAATTTGACTTGGTCTTCATCTAATATGGCATTGACTTGGCGTTTACGTGGCAATTCGATCCGAAAAAATTATAAACCTCGTGGGACCCGCATGTCAATTTCACACAGAAATTAATAGAAAAAATGATGGGGCCCACATGGGGCCCACATGTCATTCTCAGCCCCCCTCTTCTTCCTCCTCTCTCCCCATCTCCCTCTCTTCAACTCTCTCTCCCCTCTCCTCTCTTGCGACGGAAAGGTAGCGGCGCGTGATGGCCGACGAGAGAGGAGGGAGCGGCGCGCGGCGGCGGAGGCATGGCAGGGGAGGCGCGGCGGAGGAGGGAGCGGCGGGAAGTGGCTCTCGCTGCGGTGGCGGGCGGGCCCTGAGCTGCCGCTGTTGCTGAGCCCGCATGCTTCGCGCTCTAGTGGCTAGCACGCGCAGTGGGTGACGAGCAGCGGCAAGTGGCGGCATCCCGGAAGTCAACCTCGCCTTTCCCGACCTCCACGTTCACCCGTCGCCATCACCGCCTTTTAGCTTTTTGAAGTAATGTATGGCGTTCCCGGCGAACCCCCCTCCCCCGCCTATTGGTATTTCTTAGTGACACTACTGGAAATATAATTCCCAGCAGTCGCACTAGAAATAATCCTGGTATATTATGGTTACAGATGTGATCCGCAAGCGCACGGATATACCATTGTAGCATTTCACCCGGGAGTATTCCAATGTATCGTATTTATTTTATCCCAAGGGAAGATATGATAAGAGAATACTATGCTAATAGTTAATATATTACTTATATACGTCAAGGTCTATGCGGGGGTAAGTTCAGTTCAAAGGGTAAGGTGACACACAGAAGAAAGAACTAAAAACTACTCTCACTAAAATATAGTCTAAGCTAAGTGGAGAACGAATAAGAAAAGTATCATTCATGTACTTCTAGTATACATACATCTTTAGTCTATACTCGCTATTATACAGTCATGCAACCAATGCCCCATACCCAGTGTCCTCTTAGTGTTTCGAGAAGCCACCCCTGACTGCCGAGTTCCTTACGATAGCCCATCATGACCATACAACCGGGGCTAAATACAGAGGAGTACCCTCCCCAGGAAATTAACTTAGGATTATATGCGGGCGAGGAGGAATACCCGTACTGAGCTGTCACCATCAGCGGCCCACCTCTCATCCGCAGCATATAACCCCAATTAATGGTATCTAATAATCTAAGCACCATGCTTACATTACTAAATACTACCCTACATCCTTGCAACCGACATAGAGCAATCGAATAATCGGACACTAAACACACACCAATACACCTATCTGGAAAGCTGGTTACACGACTATATTGATTCAAGTATAAAGTAAAGTCGGTACTCAAATAATATGAATGGAATAAAATACCGAACTTGTATAAAGAAGAATATTCTATTAATTCAATAAGTCTTACAAAAGGAATACGGAAAGCTATTAAAGCCATACCGGATTATATGCGGGCGAGGAGGAATACCCGTACTGAGCTGTCACCATCAGCGGCCCACCTCTCATCCGCAGCATATAACCCCAATTAATGGTATCTAATAATCTAAGCACCATGCTTACATTACTAAATACTACCCTACATCCTTGCAACCGACATAGAGCAATCGAATAATCGGACACTAAACACACACCAATACACCTATCTGGAAAGCTGGTTACACGACTATATTGAGTATAAAGTAAAGTCGGTACTCAAATAATATGAATGGAATAAAATACCGAACTTGTATAAAGAAGAATATTCTATTAATTCAATAAGTCTTACAAAAGGAATACGGAAAGCTATTAAAGCCATACCCGGAATCTCCTGAAGAGTCGAGGACTATGAAGACTATTCTATTTCCTACTCCACTAGCACTAGAACTACTAAACAATACTTGAGAGAGCTCTTGATCTTCTTCTTGAGGTGTGTGTGGGAATGAATGAGAGGAGGGGTATTTATAGCCCATGAGGTGCCTTGGGAGTGTGGAGATGCTCCAATCATCCTAGGAGCATCTTTGCTCTCCTCATGACAAGTGGCATGGTCAAGCATTCAAGAGCATCTTTCACCTCCTTGTGCCATGTGTCATTGCTTATGACGGTTTCTACCGGTAGAATTGCTCCCAACCGTCATAGGATACCTGTAGATAACTGCCGGTGGAAAATAGGCTGGATTAGGCCAGCTGGTGGTTCGGCCGAACCCTGGCCAGGCCTAATCAACCCACAATTCGGCGGGTGGATTCCTTATTTGTCACTTAACTCAGAACATGGAATTTTGGGCTTATTTGATCATGTCATATCTGAGTTCTCAGCCCATCTATCCACAAGTCTGATTCTTGACAGTGTCTGTTTGATTAATCGATTGTTGTACTGTCGATTATCCTCCATTTAGATAGCTTCTCCTGCATGGTTAGTTTTCCAAGCATATAGTGGAATAGAATATTTTATTTATGGAATAATGTATTGCAAGCATAGCCAGTCTTCATTAATTGGGTAGTATTGACGGTCGAAACTGGTCGATAACGACCGTCAACACCGCCGTCGCCGCCGAGGAGGAGGGCTCCCCAACAACAACTGTGCGGGACTCCTCGCCGCCCCTTCTCCTCCTCCACATCCCGC